ATAAATTTTTTGTAACCAGGCGGGGTTGAACCCTAGACCTTCTCCTGGTAACCTATGGAGCACTACCACTGTGCTATGGACCCATAGGTCATATATTTAAAATTTTTTTATATACTGATTTTTATTTTTTATATCTTTAAATAAATAAATAAATATTATTTTGATTTTAAGTGATTTTTTTTATTCCAAACTATATCTATAGTATATATATTTTATAATCAAATAAGTATTTATTGTATTTATTTAATCTTTATAATTGAAAATATAATAATACAAGATTTTTATATATAAACTATTTTTTATACTTGAATACTTATTATTAATCTTTGATTTTTGTTATTTCTATATAATTAACTATATAAATGTTTATATATATATATACAGTATAATATAAACATATTAAAAAACAATATATATATTCAACAGCAACCACTATACTCTAATTCAATTTTTTATTTCTGATGATTATACTATTTAAATAAATTAATATTTATTTATTATTATTATTATTATTTCAATTAGTAAAATCTTGCACAAATTAACTATATTAATATATAGTAAGCATTGTTATAAATCTATTTTATATTTGTTTATTATTTTAAAATTAAAAATTTATTAATTTAAAATATGTAATAATAATACAGAAACAAATTTATATACAGTACATTTATTGAGGTTAATATAATAGAACTTCAGTTGTTGCAACAACTGCATCAAAGCTATTTAATTACAGGAATTGCAGAAATGGAAAAACTGCAACCGAAATAGAAAGAATTCTGTGCAAATTCACAGATATGATTAAGATTTATTTATCCATCATCAACACCATAACGAACGGTGCTATCCGGATGCATTTAAAAGTTTTTATAATTTTTTAAAATTTTCGATTTTTCTGCGTAAAGAAATTCTTTTTTTTAAGACTAGCAACAAGTAGACGTAAATAAAAATAAACATGTAATTGATATCAAACATTATTCCTTTCTTAGGAATCAATGGAGGGTTGCCTGAGTCGAGATTTAGGCTGGGCAATAATGCGATTTGGTGGAAGTAATTTCGCCGGAAATTGTTGCCTGCCGAGATTGTCCGTCTTGGTCAACATCCGAGTGTGAAGAGGAGTGACATTTACATTTGGTTGCTTTGGAAGACTAGGGTCTGTGCTTTCTTGAAAACTCATTAGGTAGGGAAGTTCAGGAAGTGAGGGTCCAAATTTATCGCGAATCTTAGCGTGCCCTCGGCGAATATAATCAAAATGAATACGATTGAATTCTTCCATTTCATTGAATTGAGAAAAGAAGTCAATTGGTTTGGCTTCCATCTGTCAAAATGATCTCGTAAATCAATAAATTGATTGTATTACATTTTTTAAAGAAGGAAAAAACGATAAAGAAAATAGAAGCAAAAAATGAGGAAAATAAATTGGTTTTCAGGAAAATTACCTCAGCTTGCAGTTTAGCACGAGCTTCTGCACGTCTTCGTTCAATCTCGGCCAATTCTTTCTCCTTCTCTCTCTTTTTGCGTTCTTCCTCTTCGTGCTTCCTCATAATTTCTTGTGATATCCTGAGCTGTTTTTTTCTTTCCTCCTCCTCTCGTCGGCGTTTCTCCTACAAAACCCAACGATGTGTGTATAAATGATCGCACAAATCAATATATAACTATATGTCACCATACGATTCTTACTTCTTGTTCCTTCCGTTGTGGTTCATAGAATAGTCGGTCCCATATTTTTTCAAAGGTAGGTTGTTCTTCAGTAGGCGGGGCCCACGGCCGATAATTGTCAATAATCTCCTGAGGGATTATCCTATTTTCTTTTGGTGGTGATTCGTACGGTTCCGTCCTTGGCGAGGATTGTGAAAGTGTTTGTGTGGAGGATGGAGAGATTTCGGGAGTTTTTGCTGGCACTTTAAATACAGACTTGGATTTACCCTTAGATTTAATAACGGGAGCCGCCGACATTCTCCTTCGTTTTTGCGGAGGAACTTTCTTCTTCTTTTGAATTTAAAAAATTTCAATCAGCTAAAACCCTTAACTCAATTTTTTCTAATAAGAATTATTTAATACAACGAATAACTCAATTCCTTATATACCTTTGACGTTCCTTTTATCGTACAAGTGTATGGAATTTGAAGTGTCCAAAATGGATTATTTTTGCAACGTGTGAAGGAGGAAGGAGAACGAATACAACAAACAACATAAAAAAAAAAAAAAAAAGAATGAGAATGAGAAGTTGTACCATACAAAGAAAGATTTCCAATCAAAGAGCTACGAGCAAATTTTATTAGGCACGCGATTAACTAATAAGGGTCGAACCCAAATTTCTTTAAAATATTGATGAACAAAAGATGCTAGCGTTTGGTGGAATATTAAATAGTTCCATTCACAGCCTAATGCACATGATGGTACATTATGTCGAAACAAATTTGCAGGATTAATGTGCGAGGTGAGCAAAAAAAAAAAAAAAAGAAAAAAAAAGAAAAAAAAAAAAAAAACAAAAAAAAAAAAAACACATTTTCATATAACTGCCGAATCATGAAAATTTTTCCTTGGCCTCAAAAGTAGAAAAGGAATAACCAAATATATGCGTGTGTATATAACGGAATCGTCTGAGATCAATCTTTAGTGTTCTAAACAGTTTCACTACCTGAATCTTCAGACTCTGAACCAGATGAATCAGAACTTTGACTGTCCGTCGAATCTTCTTCTGAACTATAATGGCTCCCATTGACTACATTAACAATCGATTGTTTGTATTAGATTGGAAAATTTTGACTTATGTGAAATAAAAAAATTTTATGCAACGAGACACAAACCTTGAGTAGAAAGTGTTGGTGATTTATGATCAAATTTAGCCAACGTTCTTTCTAGTGCCCGGATTTGATTCTCTTCTTCTTCATCATTAGCATTCGAACGAGATCTTTTCGAAGGTGATTTCTTTTTCTCCTTGATTTGATTGGACGATGTGTGCCTTAAAACAAATTCATACATCATTCTGGCTGTTTTATAATCGAGCGACTCTATTTCAAGTTCGTAACCACCATTTCCTCTCTAAAGGAATCACAAAGTGAGGGTTATCAATTATTAAACAAGCATGACATAGGTGGAAACAGCAATAAAGAACGAGTGAGAAAATCAAGAGTACCTCCATCGGGGCACCACTTGATTCAATGAGATTAATTAACTCATTCATCTTCTCTGTAGAAAGTAGATCAATCTTTTGACTGAGGTCTGATTTTTGATCTGCCGTCAAAGGTACATCGTCATCATACTTGGTAGCGGGCCTGGGTCGTTTCAGCGACTTCTTCTCACCATCGTTTGACATCTTAGTCTCGACGGTCTTGCTTGAATTAATCTTTGAAACTTTGGTGGCTTTCTTCGCCTTTGTCTTAGTCGGTTTCCTCATTTGCGAAATTTGACTCGATAACGCGGCCAAATGCTTCTGTAATGCTTTCAAATGATCACCTGTTTGTTACGAGTTGGATGAAGGTTAGAACCTGGTTAACTTGATGCGAAGAATGACAGCATGAACATACTTTCGTCCGCTTCTGATTCACTCTCTGAATCCTTCATATCATCGGTCTTTGTCATTGAACGAGCCTGAGCGGTAGGCTTCTCAGCCCATTTTTTATTAAATACCTCCTCCAACATTTTGCCCATGTTATGTACCTCGCTACCAACGCCATTGTAGGTGTAACAATTCTGGAACATCAAGCGAATGTCAGACTCGAATTCTTCCGCACTTGTATACTGATCATTTTCCAACTTTGAATTAATTGTAGATAGATCCATAGGATTTGAAATAATCTTATAATAATCAGGGACACCCAATTTTTCCGCGTCGACAGGTTCATAAAATGGATAGGCATAATGCCAATGTGTCCTCTTTCGCAATTCGCGAATAACTTGTCGACAAAAATTAAGTTCAATGTTCTTTTTACTTTTTTTACGACGTATTGCTGGCGTATCTGGAAGTTCTTTGGCAGGTGCTTTGATCGTTCGTTTGGGGCGTTTAGCTTCGGAAGAAACCTTTGTCGTCGTCGTCGTCGATGTCGTCGTCATCGTGGTTGCCGTTGCTGAAGTTTCAGCGGCTGGTTTGCAAGTCTTGGAGGCTTTGCTAGAAGACTCGGCAACAGGCTTCGGTAGAACCTAAAGCAAAGAAGGAAAAAATTTAAGAAAATGAAGTATGGCGCATCGATTGAAAGTTGATTGTTCACCTCTTCCTTTGTACTAGGTAGATTATTGAGGAGATTCGTAAAAAAACTATCTAGCTCCTTAGCAAAAATCGCATATTGATGCACTGGGCCGTTATATAGAATACAATTTGAAAAAATTAGCCGGATGTCGGCCACAAATGCATCAACGTTTTCATATTCAACGTTGTTGAGTTTAGCATCAACCGTGCCAAGATCCATTGGCTTTTTAATAATGTCAAAATAATCGGGGATTCCATATTTCACAGGATCCACTGGTTCAAGAAATGGTGCTGCATTAGAATGGTGCTTTAATTCTCTGATGATATTATTGCAATGTTTAAGGTGTTCACGGCTCATTGGTTCGGTAAACCAATTTGACTGTGTTCTGAGATTAAAAAAAAGAAAAGAGAAAAATATATAATAAAACCATTTTAAATAGTAATATTACATGTATGCATCAGTAAATTTAGGCATATGTAACGAAAAAGTTTTTGGAAGGAATTTTCAGTGTAGAATTCATTTTGCAAAAAGATCGTCAGAGCACCACCAGGCGCAATAAAAAAGGGAGGCTTTAAAGCAGAACAGACTCTCCGAAAAGCTTCTTGTTCAAAATTTTCGTAACATCTCAATAAGCTTATTCGAATGACAGAAAGTTCAAATTTTATACCTCGTAACGGCGGAATCTGTGAGATATGGAGCTTCAGTTGCACGAACTTTTGTCGTCTGTTTCTTACTTTTACCCATTTCCGACGAAATTGTAGGTTGTGAGCAAGGGAAGAAAGAGTTGAGCAAGGAAAATTGGTATACCTGTTTCAAAAATAAAAAGCTCTGAGAGTCCATGTGTATACGAACCAATCACCATTCATAATTTTGTGATCACGTGATTTGTGTTTATATACGAAGGCATTTTAATTGGCTGTTGAATAAATTTCCCAAATTTGAAAATTTTGTAATCCGGCACAACACGTGGTATCTTTAAGAAAGTGTGACGAATAAGGTGAATAAGGATCATATACTTAAATTAGATGTTACATTTAAAATGCGCATATCACATTATTTTTAATGACATTTTTTGCTCAAATATACATATGTTTTCATTATACAACTTTGTGATTAGCTAAAGTGAAAAAGAAAAAAAATACTATGAAATTCAGTGCTATATTACTGGGATTATCTTTTTATTGTTGATTTTTTTTTTTTTTGAAATTCAAAAGTAAAGGAAATCTATAGGAAGTAACTTAATGTTCCACTAATCATTCCTTCCTTCTCTGTTCACACCGACGAATCAAATTCAATCAGGTTTTAATTTGCCAGAGACTTTCAAACAAATATTGCAAAACTTTAGGCAAAAAATAATCCATCGGCTGATAAATCAATAATCCGCTCATAGGTACCACCACCATTATTACAATTCTAATTCTATTACGATAACGAGTGTCCCGAGAGAGAATCACCCATTGCCCAAGTACAAAAAACATGCAACTTATGAAATGAACACCTTTTTCAACTGCGAGAATCGAAATATTTCACCGGTACGAGGGCATATAATCTTTCCATTTTTGGACTCCATTTCGCGTAACGCCTTTTGGAATTAGGAAAGAGATTAGGCGCTAGGTCAAAAACGAAAATTGTTGGGAGATAATAAAGAAGCCTTACATCATATGAATAAACGTATCCATTAGGCAAAGCCATAGGAGGGTTGTTTTCATTCATAATTTTACCGCTTATACGGCATACAATCGTTGAATTCACATGATGACTCATGGGTAAATCCTGAGCCAAAATTCCAAGAGTGTCTGATGAACATACTGGACAATTGATGTTCTTGTTCTCTTGTTGGTAGCACATTGGTGTTTTGAGTGCCGAGAGTCCCGCTTGAAGGGTAACATTCAACAAAGATTGGGAAGGAAGTGAATTTAATGCATAAAAGTCGGATCGAAACTGGTCAATCAATGCCTCCCAACGTGAATGATCGTACAATGCCTTTGAATAAAATGTGTTAACAATGGTCATTATGCCTCCATAAATTTCCCAGACGATTTTAAATGAGTTACCTTGTAAGGTGGACAAGTAGTATCTGGTGGAAAAGCTAGAGTTCCCATCATCTGA